GCGGGTGGATGGGAGGAGCAGTTGGCAGAGGAAAGGGCTCATCGAAAAGAACATGCCAGAGGTTTCCAGGCACAGTATTCGCAGTCTGGCCAGGAACCGTGGCCTTTGAGTCTTATAAAAATCAGTGAAATTCCTCAAAAAAGTTAAATGTGACCCAGCAATTCCCCTCTGGGTATAGACCCAAAAGAATGAAGGCAGGGACTCACACGGGCATGTTTACACTCATGCGCATAGCAACACTATTCACAACGGCCCCAAGTGGAAACGGCCCAGATGTCTATCAACAAATGATGGGTGAGCAATATATGGTAAGATGAAATAGTACTTGGCTATAAAGAGGAATGAAGCACTGACACACTGTAATGTGGATGCACTTCGAAAACTCTGCTGAGAGGCCAGACACACAAAGCCACATGCTGTGTGGTTCCGTTTATATGAAATGCCCAGAAGAAGCGAGTCCATTGACACAGGGAGCAGATGGGTGGCTGCCAGGGGACTGGGGCGGGGAGCGACTTCTCATGGGTACGGGTTTCCTCACCGAGTGATGAAACGTTCTGGAATTAGAATTAAGCGGCGGTTGCACAATTTTGTGGATGCCCTAAATGCCACAGATTGGCTCACTTTAAAAGTTAGCTGTATCTTATGTGAATTTCACTTCATTAAAAACCAACAGTGAATTGGCAACACCAGGGCCTTTGCATCTTCTAAAAGGATCTTGGCCCCGAGATAAGGCAACTGGTTGACAACAACCTAGAACTTCCTTCTTCAAGAGACTCTTTCCTCTAACAAAATGGCATGCGGACGCCACACGTGGTCATAGAACTAGGCCCAGAGAGAGCAAGGCGTCTGAGAAGGTCACACAGCAAGGGGAGCCATTCCGTGGGACTCGGCTTTGGACAGGAGCTCCTGGGGGAGCCTGGGGGTGGGGGGTAGAGGGTGGGGGACGAGCGTGGGGGCAGCCCAGCTTCCTGTCTGTTGACTAGGGAGCTGGGTGACAGGTGCCCTGCCTTCCCTCCCCCACTGGGCCCACAACTTCACCCCAGAGGGCAGCTGGAGGGGATTGGGTGGGCAGCACCAGGTCCTGGTCCTGGTCCCCTAAAGACTGCTCCAGCCTGTCTGTGGGCCTCAGTTTCCCCATGTGTGCAGTGGGGGGGGGGGGCTGTGAGATTCTGGAGTTTGGGAGGGACGGCCTGACCCCTCATTGGCCCTGACTTGGTGGGGATCACAGGCACCACCCTAAGACCAGGGTCCCCGCTGCCCCTGCCCACCCTTCATCCGTGGCTGCCCTAGCTTCCTCCACGGGCTGAGAGGGCACCACTGGGTGATCAGGTGTTCCGAGCCCTTCACTCCCCAGGCCTGTCTGGACCATCTCTCCGTGTCCTTGGTTCAGGCCAAGTTTGTCCCCAAACATTGATTTCTGACCCATGGTCACCCCCTGGTGGCCAAAACTGACAGAGCTTCTGGGGCTGATCCCCAGGTCCCGGTCTCAGCACCTCACTGCCCTGCCCTGCACCCTGTGAACACAGCAGTGACTAACCTAACAGGGGACCCTGCCCTTGGGGGCTTCTAGGCAGACGGGGTACAGGAAAGTGTGAAACAAAGGCAACTGCATGGAGTCCCAAGCTGGAGTGGCCGGGGAGGCGACATTTGAGTTGAGCTGTGGGTGTCGAAGAGGAGGCAGCCAAGAGAAGGGTGCACCAGGCAGGGGGCCTGCATCTATCTGCAAAGTATCCGAGGTGAGAAGCTGGGGGCGGCTGGAACAGAGGGAAGGAGGGCGAGATGGGAGCCAGGGAGGGGCCGGGGCCAGGTTGCAGGGCAAGGAGTGAGGGTTTTACTCTAAGGGCACTGGGGAGCCATGGTAGGACTCTGAGCAGGGCGGGGACGTGATCTGAATTACAATATTAAGAGCAGTCTTACACCATCACAAAATCATTGGTGATTATTGAACAAATGTCCAAGTATGCACACAGACCAGAAACAAAACTTGCCCATGGTCCCCAGATGCGGCCCATTTCTCTCCCACCCCAGAGGGTACAACTGTCTAGAGTTTGGAGTTAGTCTTTTGCTTACATGCTTCTATATTTTATTATATACTATGTGGCCATAAACAATATGAAGTATTGTTTTACGTAATTTTATTTTTAAAAATATTTTTATTGATTTCAGAGAGGAAGAGGAGAGATAGAAACATCAATGATGAGAATCACTGATCGGCTGCCTCCGGCACGCCTCACACTGGGGATCGAGCCCAGAACCCTGGCATATGCTCTGACCGGAATCGAACCATGACCTCCTGGTTCATAGGTTGACGCTCAACCACTGAGCCATGCTGGCTGGGCTACATGATTTTAAACTTTGTATAAATAATAGGACAACTTCCTCCTGCAATGTGCTCATTTCATTAACATGGTTTCTATTTTTTTAGCTGTTGGCATTTTTGTTTTTAAGCTTTAACGCTGAGGTATAATACACGGATGTGAAGTGTGTGAAGTGCACGTCTTGGGGAGGGCTCGCTGCATGTTACCCACTGTGCCACCAGCCTGAGCAGCACTTGAACCTTGTGGTCTTGCCAATTTAAAAAAGTGATTATATCAATTTACAGAACTACTAGCAGGATAAACATGTCCTCAAGCTCCACTTGTTCACTAGGATCTGGTTTTGTCAGTTTCGTTTTCCCATCAATCTGATGAGTGTGAAATAGCATCTAATTGTGGTCTTTAATTATGACAAGGTTAGACGTTTTTTCACGTTTACTTGCCATTTGTATTTCATCTTCTCAGGATTGTTTGCTCACACATTTTGCCCATGTCTATTGGGTTCTTTCCTTTTCTGATTTCTAGAAGTTATCACATAATTTGTATACAGATTACTTGCCCAGTTAGATGTTGCCAACGGTCCTGTCTGAACAGCATTTTGTTCTTTTCTACATTTGAGTCCATAAGCCTGCAATCACTTAGGGCATATGTGCATATTATATGCCTGATAATCCTTATACGAAGGTCTTGAGGATCTGATCCTACTGCTTACACAGCGCACTCGCACCCACGTTTTATAATTTTCTGGATGTGCACTCGTGTAGGGTGGCTCTATGAGTGAGAACCTTGGAGTCACTCCCCTCCGGAGAGTCTGGGTATGTGTGTGTTTAAAAAAAAAAAAAAAAATATATATATATATTTAGCCTGGGGGGGGTATATATATATATATATAATTAATTTTAGAGAGGGAGAGAGATGGAAACATCAGTGATGACAAAAAATCATTGATCAGCTGACTCCTGCACACCCCCCGCACTGGGGATCGAGCCCACAACCTGGACATGTGCCCCGACTGGAATCAAACCATGACCTCCTGGTTCATAGTCCAATGCTCAACCACTGAGCCACACTGGCCAGGCCCGAGAGTCTCTTTTATTTATTAAAAATATTTTTATTGATTTCGGAGAGGAAGGGAGAGGGAGAGATAGAAATATCAATGATGAGAGAATCATTGATCGGCTGCCTCCTGCACACCCCCTACTGGGGATTGAGCCCACAACCCAGGCATGTGCCCTTGACCAGAATTGAACCTGGGATCTTTCAGTCTGCAGGCTGACGCTCTATCCACTGAGCCAAACCAGCCAGGCTGAGAGTTTAAATTATAATCGTCTTGGCTTGGGTGTCTCCAAGACCATCTGGGCAATGCACATTTCAGCTCTAAACTGGTCCTTACAATACTTCAGCGGAGACTTTTCTCTACCAGCTCTCTAGCCAAGAGAGTCGAGAGGGCTTCCTGTCCCCCAGGGCCAGGCGACAGGCAGTTTTTCTAGTGAGCCCATCTTCTTACTGTCACTACGTAGGAATCTCCCTGGCATTTCACCATCTCCACAGGCCCAAAGTCCCACCCACTACCTGGCCCTTCAATCCCAATTCCTAGGCTCCCCAGAGAACCAGCTCCTGCTATACCTTTGGTGCCCGGCTCCTGTTTTAGGCTCGTGCAGAGATCCCTTCTTGGCTCAGCGGTGAATTCACTTTAGTTTATGCGTTTCTGTGTATTTACAGCGGGCTGGCCAGGAACACTGCCCTGAACATCGCTGGGAGCAGAGGGTCTGCTCTGCATTGTGTTGACCACTCTGTCCCTCTGGGGCGCTAGAGGCTGGGTCTTGGCCTCCAGGAACGGCAGGAAGAATGGAAAATGCAATCAGACCAGGCCCTCTGGCTTGCTGTGGGTGTGGGTATGGGCAGTGAAGGACAGGCACCATGATGGCTCAGAGTGCTGTGGCCTGAGCCCTGGGCCGGACTGTGTTCTTTACTCCAAGTGGGTGGGATGCTACGATTGCACTCGGGCCAATGTCCAGGAGACCTGCAAGGGGAGCTGGGTGGTACGGCAGGAGAAAGCACAGCCCTTGAAATCGGTGGGGGTGGGGGGAGGCCGTCAGTGTTAGAGCAGAGTGAGCATGAGGGCAGGTGCCTGTGGTGGGAGGACGAGGCACTTGCTGTCCATGCACCTGCCACGTTTCCCTGTGGACCAGGCAGCCACAATCCTCTCCATGGACGGGCATTGGTTCTCAAACTCCAGTGCAAATACCAATCACCTGCAGTCTGTTCCTTGTCTCCTGGGCCCTCTCCCAGATGCTACCTGGACAGCTCAGGGTGGACCCATGAATCTGCATGTCTAGTGAGCTCCCAGGGGACACTGCTGCTGCTGGGATGAGACGACACTGAGAAAGGGCATCAGGCCGAGGAGAGACGGGGGCAAGCCGCTGGCAGTCTGAGGGTTGGGGGTCACAACCACCACCTTGGATGAGAGGAAAGAATTTGCCTGTGTGCCCTCAGGTGGTCCAGGGCAATGGCTCTGCTGCCCACTGACCGCCCAGTCCCTCCTTCACTGGGGGCGGGGCGGAGGCGCTGGGAGCTGGTGACACACGCAAGGCCACACACAGGTTGACATGAACCCTGCACCTGCCCCTGGAGACCCGGGCGGCATCTGCACCACAGTGCATTTGAGGGAAGGCAGACACAGGATTAATTAATGAAATTTAATCTAATTATGACACAAACACAGACAGGGGAGGGGTGACCAAGCACAGACATGGATGACCTGTGCCCTGAGCCAGGGCCCTCACTGCACCCCCTCCCAGGTGGGACAAACACTGATGCGGCTGAGCGACAGCGCTGTGTGGCACAGCTGGCCCTGGGGAGGCACCTCACCGAAGCCTGTGGGTCCAGGCCAGGAGCCCCACGGGCCCAAAGTGCTGGGGTTCTGGCCCCAGTGGAGGGTGCGCACTGTGGAAGGAGGCCGGGGAGGCTCCTGTCCCCACTAAGTGCTGCCTGAGTGCTTCAGGACGAGGAGCAGGAGCAGACAGCCAGGGTCACGTAAACAGCAACGAGGAAGAAGACAAAACCCCAGAGACACTCATCAAACACAGGCCAACAGAACGGCAAGAAGGCAGAACCGTGCCCCGCAGGAGCCTGGCGAGTTCCTCATGTTCCTGGTGCCGGGACTCGGCCCCGAGGCTGCGCGTGGCCTCTGGGCAAAGACTTCGCTTCCCTCCCCAGGAAGGGCTGGGGCACAGAGACAGGACACCTGGAAGACGAGCCTCTTCTGGAAGAAGGGGCTTTGGAGACAAGTGTGGAGACGGCAGAGCAGGCATGTCCGGAGAAGGAGGGGTCTCCCGGCAGAGCCGGGGTGGTGGCCGGTGTCGGGGTGTCCTCCTTCCAGCGGGCTTGGCAGGCCTTCCAGTGCTTCCCCAGGAGCCCCTGCACCAGGGCTGGGGCACTGACCCCTCACTGGGTCCGGAGCTGGTAATCTAGGAGACGGAGGGAGGTGTCCATGAGTGCCACCCTAGGGGCAGCCACCCTGGAGGGCGCTGCTCGGCCACTAGGGACCCTCTCAGCTGGCACCCCCACGCCCGCCCCACAGTGGGCTGCACATACCTCCATTCTGAGTGATATAACGGACCCACGGCAAGGCCTGGTAACCGCTCTTCTCAATGATCTTCAGGTAGCGCACCTGGGGCACAGGTAGGGCCCTGAACGTGTCATGCCGCCCTCTGCTGGTGACCCCTTAACCTCCCCCTGGGCTGGGCGGGGAGGCTGTGATGAGTGAGTGAACAGAGGTGAGAGGAAGAGGTGAAGGGCACTGGTCTGTCTGCAACGCCCTGAGGTTGTGCTTCCAGAAGATGCGGCAAAGAGCCAGGATGTGTGCTCACAAGAGAGATTCTAGAGATTCCGGGAGAGGGTCCAGGCTTCTCCTCCCCTCAGAGGTTTCCCATGGAGGCGCCCAGGAAGATGGGCCCCACGGGGACAAGTCTGGACACTAGAGGCTCGAACTCCAGTTCTGGGGACCAAATGCACCCCTGGGCTTGGAGCAGAGCACAGGGCAGGGCCGAGGAGACAAGTAAAGGCCTCTTTCTGTGGGGGCCGGGCTGCCCGTGGAGGAGCAGAGCTGTGGCAACCTGATGGGAACCCTTTAAGCTGCTGTGATGCTGTGTGTCACTTGCAGTCCTCTGGGCCTGAGTGGACTCTGGGTCTCTGTTGTCCCCGTCTGCTCTGGGCCTGGCAGCCCTGGCACGTACCTGGATGCCCGAGGTAGTGAAGTAGGGGATCTCGAACTTGACGCTGATCGGGGGCTTGCCCTCCTTGTCCTCAGCCTCCACACTGGGCAGGCCAAAGTGGGCCCGCATCAGGTACTCCTTGCCGCCCTGGGAAAGCCGACGGGTGGGGATGGTCAGGCCGAGGCCCCGGCCGAGGTGGAGAACAGGCTGCCAGCCTGGCCACCGAGCCCTCCCAGTGTGGCCGACGGACACCTGGCACCCCAGCTCCTCGAGCACATGTACACTTGTCCTCCAGGACTGCCCCACCCCCACTGGGAAGACTGGAGGCCATGATGGGCACGATGGTTGAATTCTAAGGATCAGGAGAAAGTTTCACAGGCTCCCAGGGAGAGAAGACTAATTGCTTCAAGGCAGATGAGACCAACGGCCGTGGGAAGGAGGAAGAGAGGAGAGCGCAGGCGCCGGCTGCCGGGACAAGAGTCCAGTGAACAGCCCCTGCCCAGTGTCAGGAGGATGCGTGGAGCAGGAGGGGACTGTCAAAGGGAGGAACGCAGACAGGGAGGTGACAAACGTTAAGAGGCCGCGGCGGGGGCTGCCTGAGGAGCTGCTCCCCAAGGGTGGCGGCTCCGGCCTCAGGCTGAGCAGTGACACCAGGGGCAGGGCTCGGAGCAGGGCCAGGAATGACTGGACCTGAGTCCTGGCGAGAGGAGCAAGGGGTCTCGGTGAGAGGAGTATGGGCTGTCCAAGCTCCCCGTGTGTCCAGGGAGGAGCACAGGTCTTGTCACATGTGGGTCACCACCTTGGGTCCCCAGGGCTCTGGCAGCAGGAGCGGCTGCCGACCAGGGCGGCTTCTGCCCCAGAGGAGGGGCTGTCCTTCCACCTCAGACAGAGCCAGGGCTCCCAGCGCCTGGCTCACGCCTCCCTCCCCGGGATGGAGTGGTCACTCTCCAGTCATGGCCGTTAGGGCCAGCTTGAGAGCAGGGACTGTGCTCTGCCTGACTCGGTGTCGTGTGCTAATGACTCTGGGATGCTGAGGGGAGAATAATGTGGGCTTGGCAACAAAGCAGCAGAAAATAAATAATAAAATCAGCTCCACCAGCCTGTGTGTGAAACAATAACCAGAGCAAAAATCTGAGACGTTCGGGGCAAGAATTTCAGGCCACAGTCCTAGAAGCTGCAGTCCTATGAGCCACAGGGAAGACATAGTACTGATGGGTGTCTATGAGCCAAGCGACAGGACGGCTTCTGCGAAGCAGATGCTGCAGGAAGTGTGAAGGGAAGCAGAGCTTCCAGTGATGCGGTCACAGCACAAGCAGACCTCGTGGGCGCAGAGGTCAAACTCTCCACCCCAACAACAGGCCTTACCTGCTTCTCAAGTGCACACGGGTGGGCTATTTATAAATGCTGACCTTAACTGGCCCACAACAAACACTCAATAAATTCTAAAAGTATAAACAGTACGAATAACATTCTCTGACCTCAATGTACCAAATGGAAATGGAGAAAATGGGAAACAAAAGGCCCTTCTAGCAGGCAATTAAAAACCAACTAACCGCTCCAGCTGGTTTGGCTCAGTGGATAGAGCATTGGCCTGCAGACTGAAGGGTCCCAGGTTCGATTCCCGTCAAGGGCATGTACCTTGGTTGTGGGCACATCCCCAGTAGGGGGCGTGCAGGAGGCTGCTGATCGATGTTTCTCTCTCATCGATGTTTCTATCTCTCTATCCCTCTCCCTTCCTCTCTCTAAAAAGTCAATAAAATATATATTTAAAAAAAAAAAAAACCCCAACCAACCAAACAAGTAAACAAAAAACCACAACTCAACTCTACTTGATCACAGAATTTCTGGATAATGATGATATTAAATAAAACAAGTCAGTTATACAGCTAAAGAGGAACAACTGTGTCTCAAATACTTATATCAATGCAAATTTAAAAACAAAATAATCAAATTAAAATACCTAACTCAGTATTAATTTGATTATTTTAATTTAATAATCAAATTAAAATACCTAAGTTATAAAATGAATATAACTTTGACACCTGATAGAGACTATACCAAAAACAAAAGTCAATCTCAGGTATGAATACCAATGCAAAAATCCTAAATACAATGTTAACCAACAGAATTCAATGGCATATTAAAAAGAAAAGATACCACGATCAGGTGGAGCTTACCAGGATGCACAAATACTGTATCATTCCAGATCCACCCATGAGCAGATCTGCACTGAAATGGACACTGACGAGGCAGCTGCTAAATGCGATGCCCACTTGTGCTAAAACCACAGCAACTCGGCCTGGGCTGTCTGCAGTCCCAGCTGCATTGAACTTGGAGGAGAAGCCCTGGTGGCTCCACAGAGGGCAAGAGGCCATTCCCTCCACCACTTAAGGGCCCTGGAGACAGAAGCAATGAGATGCCAGAAGCCATCAGATGGAAAAGAATAGGAGAGAAGAGAGAAAAACTGCATCTAGGTGCGAAAGACCTGAAAGGAGATCTGAAAACCCATGAGAATCAAAAGAAAAGCTACCATGCCCTGGCTGTTTTGGCTCAGTAGATAGAGCGTCAACCTGCGGACTGAAGGGTCCCGGATTCAATTCCAGCCAAGGGCACATGCCCGGGTTGTGGGCCCCATCCCCAGTAGGGGGTGTGCAGGAGGCAGCCAATCAATGATTCTCTCTCATCATTGATGTTTCTATCTCTCTCTCCCTCTCTCTGAAATTAATAAAAATATTTATTTTTTTTAAAAAAAGCTACCACAAATCAAAATCCAGTAAGGTCCCAGGACATAAAATTGCCATGCAAATATTAGTGACCTATTAAAGACAGAATGGAAGAGAAGACCCCATTTACCAAAACATTGGCTTAAAAATCATCTTAATGAGCCCTGGCTGGTGTGGCTCAGTTGGTTGAGCAATGGTCATCTTATGCGCCAAAAGGTCGCAGGTTCAATTCCCAGTCAGAGTGTATGCAGGAAGCAGCCAATCAATGTCTCTCTCCTTCCCTCACTCCCTCTCTCTCTCTTAAAAAAAAATCAATAAAAACATATTTTAAAAAATCATCTGCCGAAACCGGTTTGGCTCAGTGGATAGAGCGTCGGCCTGCGGACTGAAAGGTCCCAGGTTCGATTCCGGTCAAGGGCATGTACCTGGGTTGCGGGCACATCCCCAGTAGGAGATGTGCAGGAGGCAGCTGGTCGATGTTTCTCTCTCATCGATGTTTCTAACTCTCTATCTCTCTCCCTTCCTCTCTGTAAAAAATCAATAAAATATATTTTTTTAAAAAAATCATCTTAATAAGAAATGAGCAAAACTGTCGGTGAGTCCCGGAGATTCGGAGGGTGTGGAGTGTCCTGTGGCTTTTTCCTGGCTCCAGACACAGATATACAGTGGGGCCTTGACTTACGAGTGTCCTGGTTTTTTGAGATACCAGCTGTCTCTGGGCCGATTTTTTGCATTGAGTTGATAGAGTAATTTGAGTTAACGAGCTCCTTAACAAGCTCGGTCTCGGAACGAATTAAAGTAAACTTGTAAGTCAAGGCCCCACTGTAGTCACTCTGAGAAAACTCGTGGAGTTGTTCACAATTCATTTGTGTACCTTTCTGAAAGTTATACTTCAATAAAAGTACTTTTTAACCACGAGGAGGTACACAAGGCAAATGCTAAAACATTACTAAAAGACACAAAGCTATTGGAAAGGACAACACAGCCTCATAAAGGTGTTAATTATTCCCACTTAACTTAGAAATTTAGTACAAACAGATTCCAAAATTTAAAAGGAAAACGAAACCAGTAAGAGTTGCCGGGAAACAGACAATCAATAGGCGTGGGGGTGTGTGGTGGGGGTGGGCTGGCCCCCAGATGTGAACACAGAATGCAGCCCCAAGTTAAAACGTGGCCTCCGTGCAGGAGGGTGTTCAGAAGGAGACCTAATGCTGCCTGCAAATCTGACTTGTGATCAACACGGTGTTTCGAACTGCTGCGAAATGGACTCTTAGTAAATGCTGGACAGCCATTTGGAAAAGATAAAACTGTCCCTCCTCCCAGTTACCAGACCTTGCCCTGAAAGATGCCACTGGACGGGCTCCAGAAGCAAATGAGTGGACTCCTCCTTTCATCCTGTGTAAGTGAGAAATGGCACAGAGGAGCACGTCTGCTCTCAGGTTGGCACGTGTCTGAAAGTTCCACAGCAACTCTGCTGATGGCGCTTGGGAGCGGGTGCTGATGGGATGTGAACAGCACGCAGGGAAGTGGAAACGGCCCAACAAAATCTTAGACCTATGCCCCCTCTGAACCAGCAATTTCATTTCTGGCACCAACGCTGAAGCTAAACTGACAAATAAAATGACATAAGCGCAAGGTCAAGCCTCAGAGCAGTCTCCCTAAAGCCAAAGACTGCAAACAACTAAATGTCCTTCAGTGGGGAGGGGGAGGTGTCTGAATAAAGACAGAATAAATGCCACACAGTGGAATACTATGCAGCTAAAAAAAAAAAAGAACAAGGAGGATCTGCTTCTATAACCATTTCTCCTAAATGGTTAGAGGGAAAGCAGGTAAGAAAGGAGGCGAAATAGGAATATACCCATTTATATCTGTTTCTTTGTACCAAAAGACACTTCAGAAGGTTAAATGCTTTTCCATAATGGGAAGAGAGATTTAGGGGAAAGGGATGAAAATGAGAATTCTGCACCTTTCTTCTCTCCCTTTTCATTTTTTAAAAAATAGTTTTGACTTTTTAACCACATGAAGATTTTACACATTTAAAAAACTGAATTTAAAAAGCAAACCCTCATCTGACTGGTGTGGTTCAATGGTTGAGCCAGGAACCAATAGGTTGCCGGTTTGATTCCTGGTCAGGGCACATGCCCAGGTTGCGGGCTCAAATCCCAGTGGGAAGCGTGTAGGAGGCAGCCAATCATGATGTTCCTCTCTCATCTATGCTTCTCTCCCTCTCTAACCTTCTCCCTTCCTCTTTCTCTAAAAATCATTAAAAAGATATTTAAAAAAAATAAAAATAAAAAAGCCAACCCTGAATCAAACTGTATATTGAATTGGTGATATGGAGAAATATAAGACAGGGGAAGGATACATATACATGTACTAGTATATATTTAAGATTGTTTTTTGCAGTACTTTTCATCCCTAGGGCACGCCACTTGAAGTAATCCGTCTCTGTGTGGTTTTCTCAACTTGATACACTGGTAAGTTCATTTGGCTTTTGATTTTTAGGAATCACCTTTTATTTTTTTCCATCCTTTCATTTAATTTTGTTTTATACTAATGAAAAACACTTTAATGGTTTCAACGTCAAATGAAAATTTCAAAGATTAGATTGAAACAAACCACAGCCTACCAAACAAGGTACAGTCCACGATGATTGGCATCTAGCCCTTAGCCATGTCCCCTGCCTCCCCTAGAGCGAACCATGCGATTTATCTTCTGATTTATTCTCCCGTTGTGTTTTTTAACATAAATGCTAAACAGTGGAAACAGTCAACCATCTAGGATGGTTATTACTCCCTCCATGGAATATTCTATTGCTGACAAACTGACCACCAAGAAGACAGTCAATGACCTGGAAATGCTTCTGACACAAGGCTGAGAGAACAAAGGACAAAGAACACCAGATTGTCTCTGCTTTACAACGTCAAACAAAAACACACAGCAAGATAAGAATGAAACACACCAAAATCCTAACAGCAATTGCATTATGGTGGCAGGATTACAGTCTTTTTTCTCCTTTCCCTCTATTTTCTGTAACGTAATTATATCATAGATTTGAGGAAAATTGCGAACATTAAAAAAACTCAAGGCACTAGCATGACTGCATGCCCAACTTCTTTAACTCAGCTGGGACTGTCCTCAAGCCCCACGGAGGTTCAGACAGAGGAGAACGTGGGAAAGCAGTGACTGGCAGGTCACACACCCGCCTTCCAGGCTCCCCAGGCGCTATCCCCGCAAACCCAGACTCTGGTGCTCAAGATCCTGAACACATGCCAGGCAGCCGCCCAGCAGGCAGAGCTGGCACAGGGCACAAAGTGCTGCCTGTTCCTGGAGCTGGATTCCCGAGACCCGTGCTGCTCTGGCCTCAATGCAGTCTGTTCCCACCACAGTGTCAGAGGGAGGGAGGGAGGGGAGGGGAGCGGAGGCGAGGGGAGGGGAGGGATGGGAGAGGGGGCACTTTACTGATGCTGGAGAGGAAGGTGGTGAGGGGCCCACAAAGCTGAGCCAGCCTCTGCTTTCCCGGAGGCTCCAGTTTTCCCTCCTTGCCCGGCTCCTCAGCTCTCCCCTCCCTCCTGACCCTCCCAGAAGCTCCAGGTGGGGATCCTACCCTGTGGCCTGTCTCAAGGTTTGGGGGTATCCCACAGCTGCCAGGCCACAGCACTATGCGGGGCACAGGGAGCACGTGGAATGTGGGTGAGGTCTGGAGGGGGCACCCCGCTGAGAACAGTGCTTACTGGGAAGGACTTGATGGACCACACGATCTCGCTGTTTTCAGGGACCCACTTGACGCTCCCCACCGTTGTCTTGAACTTGGGCGAGTCGGCATCATTGGGCACAGGGATGTGGATCTCCACGTTGTTGGCTGTTGACCGCCGCTTGAACTGGCTCTTGGCCTAAAGAAGAGGCCCACATGGTCAAGGTTGTAAAAGGTGAAAGGGAGACAGCCCAGCCCCCACCCACCGTGCTCCCACAGGGCCATGTGCCCCTTGGCCTGGTCTGTGGGACCCTCCACCAAGCTGACCCCCGCCCATTCTTAGGCACTACTCCCACCCTCTCTTACCCCGAGAGTCCCCCTATGCTTGATTTTGAAAGTTAGTTTCTGTCTTCCTATTCCACTGGCCGTCCGGGCTCCCTATCCCTCCCTCTGGCCCAGCCCTGGCCTCCACAGCTGGCCGGGGCTAGACAGACTCACTGAGTAGCAGGAGTGGTCCGCCTGGCAGGCAGTAGCCTTCCCGGTTGCCTGACATGTGGCCACTGACATGATGGCCATGCCCAGTACCTGGGCAGTGTGTCTCCTCTCTGTGCCCCCGGCCCACTCCCGAACCTGAGCTCACAGTGAGGCAGCAAGGATAACAGCCACAGGCCTCATTCACCAGGATGGGAGTCACTGAGCCCCACGATGGCCCCGCCTTGTGTCAGAACTTTGTGCCAAGGGCCTGGACAGGCCAGAGACACGGAAGCACCCTCACCAGGAAGGACTGTCCCAGCCCCCGGGCTGACTCTGTCCACAGGACAAACACCCACCTTGATCATGTACTCGATGCGGCTGTGGGAATGCTTCTCAATCACTGACTCAATCCATATCAAGGGCTTGACCTGTCGGGACAGTGGAGAGGGCACTCACGCCTGGCTGTTTCATAAAGCCCGTTCCACAGAGGGGAGGCAGGGCCCAGGGCAAGGGATGGCTCACCCAGGTGTGAGCTCGACACACACTGCTGGGCAAGCCCAGAACACAGAGACCCCGGTCGTAGGGAGATGCCAAGGGCCTCTGAAAATGCAGGGACCATCCCTGCTGGGGCTCCCAGGAAGAAGCAGTGATGCCAAAGCAGCCTGGCCCCTCCCACAGTTTGGGTCTTCAAACACTGAGTGTCACCTCATGGACAGGAGACTCGTCCTGGACAGGGACTGTCCCAACCACAGGAAGGAGACAGGACCCGCCCCAACCCACCCCCACCATGGAGCCCCCGCGCTGCTGCCCAATGCTGAGAGCCGGCTCCGGGGAGAGGAGCCTGGCGCACTCACGTGGGTGTTGAGACGGTAGGACATGAGCTCGAACTCGCCGTCGGGCGGGATGAAGGAGATGGTGCGGTCGTTCTCGAAGCGGGAGAGCCGCACGCACTGGTGGAACTTCACGTCCTCCAGCTCCACTGACTTGCTTTTGCCACCTAAGGGGAGGGGAGCCTAAGGACCCGAGGCCTCCGGGCCACTCTCAGCAACGCTCCCGCCACCTGGGGCCCACCCTGGCAGAGCAGAGCTGCCCCAAATCTGTGAGAGCATCTTGGGCCACGAACACCAAAGGGACCTGGTTCTGAGACAACCCTCTCCACCCACCCCCATGCCTCCTCACCCACACGGAGGCCCCCCTTCATGTCCAGACACTGGGCTCATGCTGAGGGCAGGGCTGGTTGGCCTGGTTCACACCAATCACCAGGTAGGGTGGCTGCTTGGGACGTTTGTTGAATGACTAACAAACCCAGCTGTGTGTGTATGTGATGGCTCGGGGCTCCCGAGGGCTCTGGCCCCATTGACCCATGGGTTCTGGAGTCCTGCCTTGGTTTCCCACCCCACAGAGACCTGTGTGGGTCCAATCCAGCCCCGGAGAGGAGCTGCCCTGATGGGCGAATGCCTGAGAGGCCCCGACTACTGCTGCTGCGGATGTAACTGACCAGGCGGGACACTGCTCCCGCTGCTGGGCCTGTGGCAGGCCGGGAGGTGGGTGATCCAGTTTGCAAACACAAAGCCTCAACAATCTGGACCCCTGAGGCTGCTCTGGCCCTGCCCCACCACAGGAGTTCTACTTCTAGGCCAGGTCCCTCCTATTAATTTATTACGAATTAATTTTAGGTTATCATTTCTAGATATTTATTCTTTAATTTTCATAGCTGTCTTATAAACGATGTGAAAATAGTTCCAGGTGCTTGGGATCAATGTGTTCCTTCACCCGGTGACCTTCCCTCAGCTCTAACTTGAGCCCAGGATACAGCTCCGGGTGAGACTGCGCTGTGCACAGCGCCGTGGCCCTGGTACTCACGGCCCGTGTTGTCGAAGAGGACCTTGTCGTTGAGGCCCAGGCGCAGCTCGGGCATGCCTGAGAGGAAGACCCGCATCTTGATGGAACCCACGATCTCGCTGCGCAGGACGTTGCCGTTGGCACTGACCTGTGGGAAAGGGTGGGTGAGGGGAGGTCCCAGCTCGCCAGCTGCTGTCCCCCCCCCTTCCATGCTGCAGGACTCTCCCAGCCACCTCCACTCTCGATGCCCTTCTCACTGTCTCCTGAGCTGGGGGAGCCTCATCCGTCCCATCCAGCCTTCGCGCCAGGGTCAGTGAGGCAGACACTTGTGGGCCTTACCCTCGAGGCCTTGGGCCACATGAGCTCCTCCCTCATGGACAAGCCTGGGGCCTGGGCCTGGCACACTGTCTCGGGCTCTCCCATGCACCACGCCCTCTCAGGAGCCCCGACGCCCCAGGGTAGACCCGGCAGCTCCTCCATGTGGGGAGGCTACCAGGCTCACATCCCTAGGGCTCGTTAAAGGAGGAGCATCCTAAGCCTTGAACCCTCCCTGCTCCCCCGGGCTGCCCTGAAGTCTGATAACCATGGATCCAAAATAACAGAGGGAATCGGTGTTCACACGGACCGAAAAGTGCCCCTGCACCAGGCCCCCTCTTGCACCCCTCAACAGTCTGTGGGGCTGGGCTATGGCATGAGCAACCCTATAACTCATATGCCAACAGGGAGGTATCTGAGAGTGCGATGAGGCTACTGGAGCCACTCTCCTTCATCTATCTATCTATCATCTATCTGTCTGTCTATCTATCTATCAATCATCTATCTATCTATCTAGAGTGGAGGGAGGGAGGGGGAGAGAGAGAAACATCGATGTGAGAGAGACACAGCAATTGGTTGCCTCCTGCACACACCCAGACCGGAACCAGGGATTGAACCTACAACCCAGGTACATGCCCTTGACTGGGAATTGAACCTGCGACCCTTCGGTGTGCGGGGTGATGCTCTAACCACTGAGCAACCAAGCAGGGCTGGAGCTACTCTCCTTGAGTCCGTTTTAGAGAAAAGGACACTGAGACAAAGCGGGGGGGGAGTCATGTACCAAAGGAACAGAGCAGCTGGCAGGTGCTGGGGCCACAGCCCTGACCACCACCCGTGTCCCTCTGCACAAGGCCACATGCACACCAACAGCGAGTCTGGGGCCACCGGGGCCACTCCTCAGAGGCCAGCCACACTCACATGGTGGAGGCCCGAGCTGCCTATCTGCAGAGAAGCAGGGAATTCTGTCCAGTCTTTAGTGAGGGTCCCAACAGCACCACATGCCACATGAAAGCCTTTGCCTCTGACGGGAGCAGAGACTTGAAGTGCCGAGTGGCTGACGACCCTGAGAAAGGCACCAAACAGGACAGAAGGCCCTATAGATTCTTGCTCCATCACCCCCATCACTTGCTATACTCTGGCCACACTGCCTCTCCTGTCCTCGCCCCAGCAGGCAGCTCCCTGACCTCACAGGGCACAGCAGCTGCCGCTTCCCCTGCCTCTCACCAGCCTGTCTGCCTGTCTCATCCCCTCTCTAGGGAGGGGCTATGCCAAGCTGCTCGCTGCAGGGTCAGCAGGGAGACTGCGCCCGAGGACAGGAGGCACTCAGCAAGCGCGGTAGATGTGGGTCCTCTCTTTCCAGGCTGGCTGGGTGCTACTCCCACCTGCCTCAATCCATGGCCCTCCGTGCTGCCCATGATGTGACTGCCCCTAGGTCCCCTTCTCTGGGGGGCTGTTTCCTCCTTGGGGAGTTGAGACTGCATGGCCTTCTGTAACTAAACACAGGAAGTCGTGAATGCTGGGAAGGAGGGCCAGGAAGTGGAGACAAAAAGCCACAAAGCCAGAGCCTAATCTTGGCCCTCTGGGCAGCAATCACGACAAATTGGCCTTTCCAGCTGAGGTGTGACAGGTGGCCCAAAGCCAGTGCCTTCTCCAGGTGGGCACAGAGATGTTTGCCGAGGGATCGGCTGCTAAGTACTCCACTCCATCCAGATTTCCGGAATCTGGAGGCCAATGTTGACTCGGCTGCCAGCTCTGCAAACACACTTAGGAATAAGGCATTCTAACGTGCCTAGGTGTCCATACCTGCCTCCGTGCATGGGGAGGAGCAGGGCTCTTTAGGCACAGCCCCCCAAACATACCCCCGAACCCTCTGAACTCTCCAGGTTTTCCCACGCAGATGGTTATAAAGTGCTCTTGGGATTTGCTTTTCCTCCCAGAACCAGATGGACCATGTTTTGGTTTCAACAAAATGTCAGACCAAGGTCTTCAGGCAGGAGGGAACATAGTTATTAGCAAGGCTACCATCTTGCCCCTTGGCTTAAAAAGAAAGAAGGCAGCCTGGCTGGTGTGGCTCAGTGGTTGAGCATCGACCTATGAACCAGGAGGTCATGGCTGGATTCTTGGTCAGGGCACATGCCCAGGCTGTGGACTCAATCCCCAGTATGAGGCAGCAGCTCAATGATTCTCTCTCATCACTGATGTTTTTCTCTCTCTCCCTCTCCCTTCCTCTCTGAAATCAATAAAAACTTTTTTTAAAAAAAGAGAGAGAAGGAAGGCAAGTACAGTCATATTAAGTCCACTAGGAGCACCTCTTTGGGAAGTTCTCTCAACAATGCCACGTCTGGGAACTCAACCTCCAGAACACGCCCAGGTAAGGGAGATGTCCAACATGCACATCTGAGGATGCATGAGCACGCTCATTTCTCCACCATCTGTCATAATCAGAATGGGCAAACCTGAGTAAGCCACATGACGGGACTGGCCCAGTCACCATGGACCACCCAAACAGTAGAGGCGGGACAATTCCCAATGAGGAGACAGGCAGCATGGAGGTGAGGTGGGGTTGGCTTGCATTCTTTCTCTGCCACCAAATTCAACTACAAAACCTGGGCAAGAGGCACTGGCAACTATGCGGGAAGACTGAAAAGTTCAGCAGGAGGACCCAGGAGGAGCCAAGCAGCAGTGCACCCTCCCCCGTGTGAAAGTGCGAGGAACCTGGAAGTAGAAGTGAGCATCACCGGGGTGCAGACTGAGCTCTCAGAAACCTCTAGCTTTGCCTCCAAGGGAATTTCCTGCCACTCAGGGGAAGTACAGAAATCCCTCATTTCCCCCACTTCACTGCTCTCTCATGTCCCAGGCCCCAGGCAGTGCAATGTAGCTGCTATTCCAAGAGGCAGGGCAAGCCCAGGATTCAGGCTCAAGTGCAGACAATTGTGACAGTTTGGGGATCGAGAGCCCCAGAACCAAAAAGGGAAGCCCCAGGCTGCTAGAAAGTACCAGGCAGATAGCAGAGAGTGGGGAGTTCAGGAAAGCAACCCCATGGAGTTGTTCATGTCTCTAGAAATGGGCATGCATGTCAAAGACTTTGAGAACCAAAGTGCCCTGACTGACCATTGGGCAATGCATTCTTGGGAGAGACTCAAATTGCAAATGGCATGTAGGCTTTGAAAACAGAACTGACATTCATGCCCCACAGAGTGGGGGTTGAAACCATGGCCTACAATGAACCAGGTCAACTGTTGGCTAACACAAAAATATCAACATTTTCCATATAATTTAAACAAGAACTAGAATATACTATATAATAAAAGGCTAATATGCAAATTGACCAAACAGCAGAACAACCGGTTGCTATGATGTGCACGGACCACCAGGTGGTCAGTGCGCTCCCACAGGGGGAAGTGCCACTCAGCCAGAAGCTGGGCTCACAGCTGGCGAGCGCAGTGGTGGTGGTGGGAGCCTCTCCCACCTCCATGGCAGTGCTAAGGATGTCCGACTGCGAGAGGGTGCAGGCCGGGCTGAGGGACCTCCTCCCCTCCCCCCAAGTGCACAAATTTCGTGCACTGGGCCTCTAGTTATAATATAATGTCCCAAAATTTCAGAATATAATCTAAAATTATTCAGCATACAAAAAACCATGAAAATTTCAGCTCAAATGGAAAATATAACCAACAGATGCCGACACTGGTACAGATACTGAGATTATCTGAGACTTTAAACAGCTATTGCAAACACTCTTGCAACAAATGTTAAAACAGAAAATCTCAGCAAAGAAACATGATAGGAAGAAGAACCAAATGGAAATTTTACAACTAAGAAATACAATAACTGAAACTAAAAACTTGCTGGATAGGCTCAATAGCAGAATGGTGATAACATAGTAAAGGGTCAGTGAACTTAAAGACAGATCAATGGAAATTATCCGATCTAAACTAACAGAAAAAATGATGGGATAAAATGAACAGAACCTCGGGGAACCATGGAACAATAACAGAAGGTCTAATATTCATGTCAGAATGTGAAATGATGAGAACAAAGTGAGAAGATAGATCATATTCTGGGCCATTAAATCAAACCTTAACTTTAAGGACTTGATATTATACAAAGTATATTGTCAAACAATAATAAAATTAAAAATCAATGACAAGATAAAAGAAAAATCTGCAAACATTTAGAAATTAACCAAAACGTTTTTGTTAAATAATCTAAGTCAAATCTAAAAATATTTTGAAAATTTGAATCTGAAAATCCCCAATTGTGGAATGCAGCTAAAGCAGTGCTTAGTGAGTAATATATAGCATTAAATGTTTATATTAGAAAAGAAGGAAGGTTTCAAATCAGTATCTTCAGTTTCTACCTTAAGAAACTGGAAAAGGAAGAGCAAAATCAACCCAAATCATGGAGAAAGCAATACTACAGATAATAGCAGAAATCAATGAAATTGAAAACAAAAATAATAAAGGAAAAAATCAATGTTGATTCTTTGTAAACATTAGTAAAATATATGAAACTTTCACAAGACTGACAAAGAAAAAAGATAACATAAATTACCAATATCAGGAATAAAAGAAGGGATAGCAGTAGAGACCCTGCAGACTTAAAAAGATAATAAGGGAATACTACTATAAACAACACTATGCATATAAACTCAATGACTTAGATGAAATGGACCAACTTAAAAGAATTGAAATTTGTAATTAAAAATATGCTAAAAGAAGAAATCTGCAGGCTCAGATAGTTTCAATGATGAATTCTACCAAATAAAAGCAAAACTATACAATTTATAATAGCTTCAAAACACTGAAATACCTAAATAACAAAACATGTACATGGTAAAAACTACAAAATGCTGATGAAAGAAATCAAAGATGTCCTAAATACACAAGAGTGGCAGTAGGCAAAAGTAGGTTTACAGTTGTAAGTATAGCAAATAATACAGTAATTAATAATACAAGAATAAACTCTGTGTTTCGCAGACTCACAACTGTAAGCCTACTTTTGCCCCACCTTGTATACAGAGAAACAGTACTATTTCATGGATTGTGAGACTTAATATGCTAAATATACCAATCCTTGCCTGGCCGGTGTGGCTCAGTGGTTGAACATCAACCCATGAACCAGTTCAATTCTGGTGAGGGGCACATGCCTGAGTTGTGGGCTCAAACTCCAGTAGGGGGCGTGCAAGAGGCAGCTAACTCTCTCATCAATGTTTCCATCTCTCTATCCCTCTCCCTTCCTCTCTAAAAATATCAAAAACATATCAAAAAAATATCAAAAAAATATCAAAAAAGGTATCAGCCCTAGCCGGTTTGGCTCAGTAGATAGAGCGTCAGCCGGCAGACTGTAGGGTCCTGGGTTGCATGCTCGATCCCCAGTATGGGGCATGCAGGAGGCAGCCAATCAATGATTCTCTCTCATCATTGATGTTTTTATCTCTCCCTTTCACTTCCTCTCTGAAATCAATATATATATATATATATTTTTAAAAGATATCAATTCTTTCCCAAACTAAATAGTTATTTAACACCATACCAATCAAAATCCCAGAATTTTTTGTAGGTACAGACAAGTTGATCCTAGAATTCTATACAAAGGAACTGAATAGTTAAGACAATTTTTTAAAAAAACAGGGATGTTGGGAGAATCACATTATCTAATTTTCAAACTTACTATAAAGTTACAGTTATCAAGACAGTGTGGTATTGGCAAAGGAACAGATATATACAGACCAATGGAACAGAATAGATAGTCCAGAAATAGTCTTGCATTAATATGACCAATTGCTTTTTGACAAAAATGCAAAAGTAATTCAATAGAGAAAGGATAGTCTTTTCAAAAATTATTAGAACTACAAAAAATTATGCTATATGAAAAAACAATCAATATAAACCTCATAACTTATGTGAAATTTAACTCAAAATTGATCACAGATTTAAATGTAAAACTATAAAGAAGAAAATTTAGAATCAATTTTTAAAACTCAATAATTGAACTTTCTAAAAATTAAAAACTTTTGCTCTGTGAAAGATACTGCCAAGAGAATGAAAAGACAAGTGACAGATTGGGAGAAAATATTTGTAAATCACATACTGACAAAAGAATTATATCCAGAATATATAAAGAACTGTCAAAACTCAATAATCAGAAAACAACCCAGTTTCAAAGTGCTCAAAAGACAAGAAGAGACACTTCTCCAAAGAGGCTATACGGATGACAAAGAAGCAATAAAAAGATGTTCAACATCATTAGCCATTCGGGAAATGCAAATTAAAGCCATGATGAGATACCACTACATACATAGTAGGACGACAAAAACAAAATACTAATCAAGGATGTGAAGCAACTAGAACTCTCTTGTGCTACTGGTAGGGATGCAAAATGCTGTGGCTACTTCTGGAAAACAGTTTGGCAGTCTCTTATAAAATTAAACATGCACTTACCATATGACCCAGCAACCCCACTCCTTGGTATTTGCCCTAGAGAAATGAAAACTGCCCACATCTAAACCTGTACACGAAATGTTTATAGCAACGCTTTTCACAAATGCCAAACACTGGGAACAGCACAATGTCCTTCAGTGGGTGAATGGATAAACATACTGTGGTTCAGAATATAAAATAAATAAATTTAAGAAGAAACAAACTTTTGATAAACACAGCAACATGGATGACTCTCAAGGCAATATGGTGAGTGAAAGAAGGCAGACTCAATAGGTCACGTACTGTAGGATTCCATTCATAGGACAATCTCAGAAAGACAAAACTACAGGGATGGAGACCAGATCAGTGGTTGCCAGGGGTTGGAGACAGGGAGGAGGGTGCAACTACCAAGGGGCAGCAAGGGGGAGGTTTTGGAGGTGATGGAACTGTTTGGTATCCTGATCATGAGAGTGCGTACACAAACATGTACACATTCTAAAATTCATAGGTCAATTTTACCTAATGGTATTTAAAAAATAAAGTTAAAGAAAAAAACAAAGATTACAAAACAGTAAGACAAAAACAACACCCCTCCCACCAAAATAAAACAAGTTGCAGAAAAACCACACCTTATGCTGTTTTATAGAAAAACAACATATGTTTATATAGTGAGGCGGGCTTTCTGATTATGGAGCCCTTCACTTTCTAATTTTATATATTCTTCTTTTTAAAAACAATGTCAATGTCTTGATTCTAAGTAAAAACAAAAGCTCATGAAGATAAAACAAGCTCACATTGCAATGAGTAGCCCCAACTGAATCCTGCTGATCTATCACACAGAACCTAAATATTTCTCAGGGTTTCACTAATTTTAAAAGTCTAGTTGCTTTCACAACAATCATGGAGGAGACAACATTTTAAAATAATAAAGAAAAGCAGCCTACCAAGAGGTTGACAGATTCGATGACGTCCAAGAACACCTCGTTCTTCCGGTACTTGATGCCCTCAGACCGCCAGGACACTGCGTTGGTGACAGTGGCTGGGGGCCGCGGGGCCCCCGTTTCCAGCTTGTGGCCTTCCTGAGTGATGTACCTGGAGACCATGCTCAGAGTTAAGGCAGGAAAGCACCGACATTCTTGAAAACAGCCCCTCACCGTAACAGGCTCCAGAAAAGGCAGGCTCTGGTTTCATCTGTGGCTGTTTAATTCAACAATATCATAAATTTCAAAAAGCCCAAAAAACTCATTACAATGAGCATTGAACGTTCATCTGGGGGGTCCAAGGAGACAGCGGTAGTGAGGAAAAGCACTACTGGTCTGCAGAGGGGGATTAAGCCCCTGGTAAAGTAACCTGGTGACCCCATTCCCACTTGGAGAGCAATAGGTACGGGACATGGGCAAGTGACATTGCTCCCTGGTACAATGGGAGACAGTGCCTCTGGTTGTGAATCGAGTGGATGCTAAGTGCTCACACAGGGCACAGTTCACAAGAGGCGCTTAATCCACAGTGGCCATTATTTGAAGGGCAGGATTCCAGAAAAGAAGATATTTTATCACAGCCTCCTCTGTGACAGAAAAAAACAAAGGCAGGTGACTGACACTCTAACAACCAAGCATTTAGTGCACCTTTGTGGGTGGAAAATAAAGACCTAGTAACAGGAAAATGCTCATACTGTGCAGGGTTGCTGCATGGGAAAGAATCCCAAATTGCCACTGCTGTGACCCGCCAGACCCCCTCTGCCTACTCACTCCTGTAGGATCTTGCTGTCTGTGGTCTGGGGGTAGCCAAAGTCCATGAGCTCATCCAGCAGCTCGTAGATGATGACAAAGTTGTCGCGGATGCTCTCCTCCTCCAGCTCCTTGAAGTACTCTGAAAACACCTGTGATGTTGGCAGTGGGGGCAGGCCGATGGGTGAGGGAAGGATGAGGAAGGGAGAAAGGCCTGCACAAATCCATTTGCCTTTCACGCCCTGAGGCCCAGAGACAACAACCCTTTTGTCCACAAGTGCACCTGCCCATTTTCTAGGCTTGGCAACATACTACAGACTAGACCTTTGACTCAGGGAATGTGGGCAGCAATGTGGCTACCTGAGAGGCAGGAACCACGCTAGGGGATGCAGGTGTCCTCTGAAGCCTGGTCAGAAGCCCCATATCCACATCCCTGCGGCCCCTTCCCAGCTTCCCTTTAGTCCTCACTGTAACTGTCATCCTTGGCCTCTGAGTCAGAGGCGACTCAAGTGAGAGGCAAGAGCCACTGGGGACAGAACAAGCGATGCTTCTGGACTCTTCCGGCATCCCTGAGTTCCCAGTCTGTATAGGTGTGCAGGCAGATATATTGTCCCCGTTTCAGCAGGAAGTTGTAAGGCTCAAGGAAGGAATGTTTCATTAGCACTGACACCAAAGCAGAGAGAACTGCTAGACCCTCCATGGAGGAGAACTTCCTCCTTCCCGCTTCCCCACACCCAGGCCTTGCTTGCGACAGCACCACAGCCCCGTAATGAAGGCCCACTCCTTCCTCTCCCCTCCCATACCGCGTGCCCTCAATGTCAGACCGGCCCCTGAAGGTTTAGCACAAGTGGCTCCTGAACTAGCTGCACATGGTACCACTGGAGCTATACACGCTTTCCTGGGCCCACCCCAGGTCTCCTGGGTCCCATTCTCCACCCCAAACCCCCAGCTTCAGCCAGGCCCCTCCACTTCTCTTCTACAAGCTGCAGCGACCTCACCGGCCTCCCTGCTGCCCTCACATTCTTCCTCTACTCAGCAGCCAGAGATCCATCATCTTAACTTAGATCAGCCTGAGCAGTCTTCGCTTAAAGCCCTCCCACCATCTCCCATCACACTTGGAATGAAATCTAAACTCACCAGGCCTGTATGCCTCTCCACACCCCCACTGTGATCCAGCCCTAACAACTTTGCTGACCTCAGCCCCAGACTTTGTCCCTCACTCCCTATGTCCTGGGCACACTGGCCTGCCTGATGCTCCCTGACCGCACCATGTCCACTCCTGCCCCAGGGCATTTGCATGTGCCACTCTCTGCCTCCCTATCTCGCTGTCAGCCTGGGCCTGGTGTGTCAGCTCTCTCCATGGCGGGCCTCAGTGGGCCTTTACCGTGAGAGCCCCCTAGGACAGTGGTCGACAAACTCATTAGTCAACAGAGCCAAATATCAACAGTACAACGATTGAAATTTCTTTTGAGAGCCAAATTTTTTAAACTGAAACTATATAGGTAGGTACATTGTTACTTTAGGGTACTCCTAAGGCTTAGGAAGAGCCACACTCAAGGGGTCAAAGAGCTGCAGGTGGCTCTCGAGCCGCCGTTTGCCGACCACGGCCCTAGGAGATTCTGAGCAGAGCTTGGCTCTGCCCTTCTCCCAATTACCTCACCTCTCCAACTCCTAACTCTCAGCTGGCTAGCCTCTACCCTTCCACAGCCAGCTGGGGGGCATACTTGTTCCTCCCAGGGCCAGGGGGCACCCCTGCCCTGAGCCCCACCTTCTCCTGTTCACTTTCCTCACGGGGCGGGGGGGGGGGGGGTGGAATAAGGGACAGGGGACAACTAATGCGATGAATCCCATACATGGAGCAGCTGGAGCTCTCCTATAGCTCTTGAATGGCTGGTATGGGGAGGCACACAACAGATCAGGTGACCCACAGCCCTCTGGGGCCCCTGGGGCGCGACTCACCTGCACCACCTTATAGAGGAAAGAGAATACCAGTGACACGCACGCATTCTTCTTGGAAGTGGCGACCACTGCATGGCAGCTGTAGTTAAGGAGCATTCACAAGCCTAAGCTGTCACCTCGCAGATCCTGGGGCCTGGAGCCTCCCCCAACCCTATCCTAGCCGTTCACTTCTCATCACATTTAAGGTGATGTCCTGTGAGACCCCGACGTATGCACCCTGCTGACTCCTCGGGTCTCACTCCCACTACACATCCCTTCCCCATGGTCCAGCCACCCATGCCATAGCTTCTGGAATTAGCCCCGCTTTCCCTTGCAGAGCCTTCACTCAGGCCTAGCACTCCTTGGGCCTGGCCACTCCTCTGGCTGGCAGATGCCTTGCCTGCCTGCAGGTCTCCTCCAGAATGTCGCCTCCTCAGGGAAGTCTTCCTGGATCCCCAGATCAGGTGCGGTCCCATCACACCCCCTCTTCTTCTAACACCCATCACCCTTGTCATTGGGTGCTCTCTGCCCATCTCCTCAGGCAGCAGGGAGCTGCAGGAAGGCTGTGCCTGGGCACTCTGGGCCGGGCCAGGGCAGGTGCTGGCAGCTCTCAGTTGTATGCGTGAGCACACATGTGCACACTTCCATGCCCACAAAGGAGTCCCCCAGGAGCTCTCCTGCAAAGGGATACAATACAGGTTGTTGTGCTTGATCCACATGAAGCGGACACCCCCATGGGCCAGGATGGGCGACAGCATCCCCTCCTCCTCCTTCTCCATCAGGATGGGCATGAAGTGCTCCACTTCCGACATGTCCACATCACCGCGATAGTTCCGGCAGATGAGCACCTGGGCAGGGACAGAGGGAGGGAAGACACTCAATTCAAATGCCAGCTTCCCTCCCCCAGGGGGCCCCAATCAAACCCCTATCCATCGAAGAGTATAGACTGGAGGCCATCTGATTGCCACACCCTAGGGAATTCCTCAAGGAGAGTGTTTCCCAAGTGAACTACAGGGACCAGCAGGGTTTTTGCAGGGAAGGGTGGGAGGCGATGTGGGGCAAGGGCCCAGGACTGAATTGCTTGGGAGACACCAGGTTCAACAACGTTCCGCAGACCTTCTCAGAGCCTTTCCTGTGCTAATTCACCCCGCTCTTCTGCCTGGGTCAGGGTACCTGTTTGGGGGACACTGCTGAGTGCTCACACCTGCTGGAACCCAACCACCCTTCCCACCCCACCCCGTAGCCTGAAGAGGAGAAGCCCTTCTGGCATCTCTCTTTCATAGCCTGTGGTTTTGGTTATGTCCTCATCCACTACCGATGGGAACAAAGAGTAGGACAACCATTTCAGTAAAGCTTGGCAGGTTCTCACAAAGCTAAACCAGCTTGTGACCCAGCTATTCCTCTCTTAGGTTTTTACACAAGAGAAATTAAACCATACTGTCCATGTGAAGATTCAGAAGCAAATGTTCACGCAACTTTACTTTAAATGGACCCAGGCTGGAGATAACGTTAATGTCCTTCAACATGTGAATAGAGACACAAACCATATCCATCCACACCATGGGACACTCCTCAGCCATGAAAAGGAGTGACAATGACACATGCAACAGCATGAAGGAATCTCAGGATGACTGGGCCGTGTGAAAGAGACCAGCAAATGGAAAATATTTATATGAACAGGAAAACCAATAGGTAAACACCTATACTCATTGCCTCCCACAACCACATCAAAATTACAACTAAATACAGAAAACCATCATTCAGAACTGCCTGAAATCTGGGTAAATGGAAATCCTACAACCAAAGAAGTACAGAAGAAAGCACACTGAGACTGGTAGGAGGGGCGGAGGTGCGAAACATGCTAGTCCTACACCCACATGTGGCGTGTTTTTAATCGGGAGGGATATCTTCAAGGCCTCCTGTGAGAAGCAGGGGGCCCCAGCTGCACACCAGAGTCCCAGCCCAGGGTTCCACAGCTGGGAAGAGAAGGCCCTGTAACTTTGGGATGTAAAAACCGCAAGGATTGTGGCTGAATGACACAGAGGCCTATACATGAATTTACATGGTCTCGCTTCCTCTGAGCTCCAGCGCAGGACATCTTTGGGGGGATTCCAGGGACACACGGGGAGGAACTGGACTGTCTGGCATTGGGGCAGGAACTCGGGGGTGGCTTTCTCCCAGACAGGAGTGCTCACAGGGGTCATTGTTCCTGTGCTGGGACCTCCACCGGTAAGAGCTGACTGGCAGCCATATCTGAGTTTCCATCAGCATAGCCCACTCTGTTCGTTCTGCCCTGGTAATTCCCTGAGACCCCGCCCCATCCAATCTGCAGCCTGAACCCAAGCTATTTGCAGCTACTTTCCCACATGAATGGCCTGTCCTGGCTCAGGCTTCAGACTTTCCTAAAGTATCTTAAACTAGCAGTAACTGGAGTCAGTGCGCGCCCAACCTATCAATAAAAGGCCCAAGACCTGGCACTAGCACCAGCCTGCCTTGCTTCACAGCTGGGCCTTCCCTGGGCACTTCCTAGCCCAATACAAGTAGAAGCCATCTGCAGATCTCTCTGTAGATCCTGCCGGGCGGCCCCAGAGCCAGAGCTTCAGGCCATACCAGATTACAACTCTATACATCCCACAAATGACACACTCAAGGGGGCACCAAAGTCCTCCATAGGGGTATCTCCTGCACAGCAGCTCTTCCACTGTAGACACAGCTGGTCCGCACAGCCGATTAGCCTGGAGGTCATTTCCTCCTAGTGACTCCAACAGCAGTCAAGGCTCAACTACAATGAGACTGTACACACAGCCCACACAGGGGCGCACACCTAGGGTGCCCAGCTCAGGTGTCTGGGGAGACTGAGTCACTGGGCCCTACTGGACATCTAAGACACAAGGCCACTTACCAATACCAGGAGACACAACAGCTCTACCCAGTACATAAAAACACACACAGGGAAGCAGAGACAAAGAAACTATTACAAATGAAAGAAACGGAAGCACGCAAATTACTGGATACAGAGTTCAAAACAATGGTTCTAAGGTTACTTAAGGATCTTAATGAGAGCTTCAAGGGACTTAATGAGAGCTTAAAGGAAATTAATGAGACCGTCAAGGGGCTTAGTGAGATTTTCAAGGATCTTAGTGAGAATGTCAAAGACATGAAAAAGGACCAGTCAGAAATTAAGCATACACTAACTAAAATAAAGAAGAATTTATAGGAATTCAACAGTAGAGAATTCTGAAAATCAAATCAATGATTTGGAGTATGAGGAAGCAAAAAACATCCAACCAGAAGAGCAAAAAGAAAAAAGAATCCAAAAATATGAAGATAGTGTAAGAAGCTTCTGGGACAACTTTCAAAAGTACCAACATTCGCATTATGGGGGTGCCAGAAGGAGAAGGGAAAGAGCAAGATATTAAAAACCTATTTGAAAAAATAATGACAGAAAACTTCCCCTACCTGGGGAAAGAAATGGACTTACAAGTCCAGGAAGCACAGAGTCCCAAACAGGTCCAAACCAAGACACCTCATAATTAAAATGCCAAGGGTTAAAGACAAAGAGAAAATCTTAAGAGCAGCAAGAGAAAACCAGTTAGTTACCTACAAGGGAGCGCCAATATGACTGTCAGCTGTTTTCTCAACAGAATCTTTGCAGGCCAGAAGGGAGTGGCAAGAAATATTCAAAGTGATGAATAGCAAGGACCTACAACCAAGATTACTCTACCCAGCAAAGCTATCATTTAGAATTGAAGGTCAGATAAAGAGCTTCCCAGACAAGAAAAAGCTAAAGGAGTTCATCACCACCAAACCAGTATTACGTGAAATGCTGAAGGGTATTCTTTAAGAAGAGAAAGAGAAGAAGAAGAGAAAGGAGGAAGAGGAGGAGGAGGAGATATAGGTAAAAAAGATGAACAATGAAAAATAAAACGGCAATAAATACATATCTATCAACAATTGAATCTAAAAATCAAAATAAAAGAAGAAATCTAATGAATAAAATAAACTAATGAATAAAATAGAGGCATGGAAACATGGAACAGACTGATGAATCTCAGAGGGAAGGAGGGTGGGAAGAGATTAAACAAAGATATTATATGCATATATGTATTACTTATGGACACAGACAATAGGGTAATGAAGGCCTGGGGTGGGAACCAGGTGGAGGGGGGCCCCCAGGGGACATCTATAATACTCTCAATAATAAAGATAAAAAAAAAAGTTTATGTCCAAAAAAACAAAAAAGAGGAAACCCAGCAAATGGATGGCATTTCCTGCACTATTGCCACTCTTATAAAATCCTGGGAAATAGGGCTGGGACAAAAGGGGTAAGAGGAATCTTTGGGGGTGACAGAATGTGTGTTTATGGCCTTCCTGGGTATATACAATGCCTGACTCTTCAACTTTTGGGCTTTAAATAAGCCAGTTTGTTACATGTAAGTTACACCTCCCTGAAAGAGTAAAAAGGAGGTTTGAGGCTTTGCCAGCCTGAGCAAGGCTCTATTTGGAGATGCCACCTAGAGCCGCTGCCGCTCTTGTGGGCTCATGAGGACAGCCAACTGCAAAACTCAGAAATTCGCTGAGATCATCACGGAGCTGACCAACTTGGGAACGGCCTGCCTCAGAACCTGTAGCTGCATAAAATACATCATTGTCTTTATCGTTTCAAGCCAGAGAGGTGAGGGAGAAAGACCCTTCCTTTCCTAGTTTCTCTTTCCTGGCCTGTGGGCAAGGGACCCTGTGCCCTCAGGCCTCTTAGGGACCCAGCAACCAGTGGGTGAGACCAGCTAAGGGACTCCAGGGTACTCCCTCAGATACTCCTTGCCAAGAGTATATACTGCCTCATATATTGCCCCAGCCGTGAGGGAGAACTGTTATTTTTAGAGATCGATGTGCCATGACCTTATTTGGATTAGATGCAGTCTATGCAGGAGAGGTGGGGCTACCTGCCTGAGGTCACAGGACAAGCAAAGCTGAGTCAGGATTCTAGCCCCATTTCTCACTCCCTGCAGGGCCACTTCTGCTTGCTAAGCACATTGTTTGCTGAGCTTCCCAAGGCCACTTTCCTCCCCAGACATCCAAACTTTGGGATCTAGCATGGAGCCCTGGGCCCCCAGAGTGCTCAGAGAGAGGAGGGGGCAATTTATTTGCTCACTCTCACCAGAGATGAACAGAGGTCTGCTCATTCAACTCAACAAGCACATACCATGTGTCCCTCTATGGTGACACTGTGCTGGGCTAGGGACACACACATGACCAAGACGAACAGTCCCTATACTGGGATACTTGCTTGGGGAAACTGAGGGCAATCCTGAGGATCTGACCTTCAAACTGAGGTCTGAGGGGACAGGCAGGATACAAGCAGAGGGACCAGTGTGGCGGAGGCCATAGGTGTAGGGGACACAGCCCATGGGGGTCCTGGGAGCACTGGTTAGGTGAAGTAAGGATAACCTCTAAGCTGGGTCCCAGATAAGAGGACAAAAGGAGGAGGCGGACAACATTGAGGTGACAATCTCCTACCCCTGATGTTGCTCTTAACCCATAATTCCTTCCCCACAGAGAGCGAGAAGGGTCTTCTTTTTTTTTTTGGGGGGGGGGGGGGGATTTTTATGAGTTTATTTGAGCCAAACTGATGACATGCCTGAAGCAAGATCTCAAATGCTCCACGGGCCTTCTTAAACAGAAGTCAGATGAGGTCTCTCCCCTGCTGAAACTTCGATATTCCCTAGCCACCCCTCACACAGAATTAGTTGCAAGTCTGTCTCCATGACCATCTGGCTCTTTACAGCCTCTCCAACCCCTCTACGGCCACACTCCCCTGGCTCACCCCACTCTAGCCATCCTGGCCCCCTTGCTGGTCTCTGAGCAATCCACATCTGCTCCTGCCTCAGGGCCTTTGCACATGCAGTTCCCTCTGCCCAGAATGCCCTGGCCTGGCTCTTCTCATTTCTCAAGCCTCGGCCCAGATGGCACCTTTTCCAAGAAATCTATCCTGTTTGCTCTGGTTGAAAAATCCCATCCCATCCCTCTTTACCCCCAACCTGAGTTTACCTTCTCTGCCCACATCACAGCTGCATTTATTTGTATCCTCATTTATTGCCTGTCGCTTCTACCAAAGTCCAACACTCCCAGAGAACAGCGACCACTTCCAACTCGTTCACGGCTGTGTCCCTCCATCCAGAGCAGAGCCTGGCCCATGTAGCTGCTCAGTCCATGTCTGTGCAGTGAATGTGGGGGTGAGAAAAAGGAGGCCAGGATAATGCCCAGGTCTCTAATGTGGACAGTCCCATGGATGGCAGTGCCACTCACTGAGATGGAGAGAGAGCAGGTCATTTTGGGAAATGCCGAGTTCGCACTTGCTGTGGGACCTCCATGGTGTCCCGCAGGCCAGTGGGTCTCCAGATAAGTGCTCTGGAGAACAGTACAAATTTGAGAGTCATTGGCACATTGACATGAATCAAAGCCAGCCCAAGAGGACAGTCAGAGAGGCACATCTAGGCTCAAGCCTGAGGGCCGAATCCAAGGGGAGGGCAGGAGAGGAGGGGCCGGCAGCCAGTGAGAGAAACAGGAGGAAAACAGAGAGTACAGTGACCTGGAGGCCAGCGGAAGCCTGCTGAGGAGTGAGTGGCAGTGGTGTCAAGCTGCAGAGGAGCAAGAAAGATAAGGGCAGAGAAGTGTTGCGGAGGCTGTCTATTAGCTAAGTATGGCCATGCTGGTTTCCTTCGTGATCAGAGGCTCTGGCTGGCAGGCAGATGTGTGGTTGTGAACTTCCTGATGTGCCATGACTTTATTTTGGATTGAATGCAGTCTATGCAGGAGGCAAACTTTCATAACATGCAGTCTGTGGTAAGTGGAATAATAAATGACAGGATGGCTGCTAAGGATGGGAGGGAAGCCCATGGCTGCCTCAAGAGCTTCCACAAAGCAGGACTGAGCCTGCCCTTATGGCTAACTGGCTCTGATCATCTGGATCCGTGTGTTTCCCCTGCCAGACCGCAGGCCCATGTTGGCTAGTATGGACTGTGGGCCCAGAGTGGTGAAGGCACTTGCCCAAGATCACATCACTGAGCAGCAGTTTTGACCTCAGCCCTAACCCCACAGTCACGGTGAGATGGGTCACGGTGAGATGGTCAGCACAGGGCCTGGTGCATGTTAGGTACTGCTGACATGTTTGCTGAAGGTACAAGTGAGCTGTGACAGGCAGCCTGGGGGACCTCTGGGGACATGGGGCCAAGGTGGAAGAAAGAACATATGCTACCAGGACTTAGAAACCCACCAACACCCATCCAGCCTTGGTGTGCCCGTGTCTTCCCTTGCCTCTAACAAGGCTGGGGAAGGAAGTCCCACACTGGGAATCACTGGCTGTCGACTCTGGGTAGCATCCAAGGCCCGCAACCCACTCAAGGAGCTCTGGGGAAGTGCTGGGGTGAGGAGCGGGGCAGGAAGCAGCAGCCACTTCAACTTCACTTCCCCCTGCTTCTGAGCTAACTCCTGCCTGCCCCACCTAGGCTGGACACCCACAGTTCTCTCACTGATCGATGTGGGGCTTAAAGTTTAATGTTGCTGGACCTGTTCTTGTTGCTCCCAGATGCAAGAGGCCAGATACTTGCTTTCTCCATCCAGCAGGATGGACTAGGGGGAAGGGGACAGACCACTTCTGAAAGGATTCGAGAGCCCCCCTTTAAGCAGCTTTTTCAAATCCAACCCCCCCCCCCCCCCCGGGAAAGGCACCTGGGTCCTAGTTATGTCCAGCTCCTCCAGGTTTCAGCCGGATTCGTCATCCCCCCCAGGAAGCCCTCCCTCACCCCAGCCCCGGCTGAGCCTCCCTATCACCTCCTCACTGCGGCACTACTGCAATTCCCATTTACTTGTGCTTTTTGAGATCAGTGTCCCTCTCCCCCAGACTGTGAGCTCCAGAAGGGCAGCACCTGATTCTGAGGTTGCTCACTCAAGGCAGCCCAGGGCTTAGCACCCTGCCCGGCACCTAGGAGGCGCTCCTCCAATCGTCCGCTGAATGAACAGACGGCTCTGGGTTCAACTCCTACACCTGCCACTTCCTGTGACCAGTGTGACCGAGGTGGGTTTGTGGAACATCTCCGTGCCTCCGTTTCTTCCTTCTGTGGAAGGGCTCCCCCACCACCCACTTCACCTCACCCTCGTAACTTCATGTCACAACGAACGTTAAAAAATTCCTACAGAGACTAGCACAGAGAAACAGCCGGATAAACAGAAGCTGCCGCACGCCCAGAGGGCGGGACTGGCCCGAGGGCACCCCGGTCACGCCACGCCTCCCCACCTCCGGCCCCGGGTCGCGCAGCTGTTGGGCTCTAGGCCCGGCTCCGAAGCCGCCGGCGGCTCACCCTCCCCGCGGCCCGCACCGAGGCCTGGGCCCCCGCCCACAGGGGAAGCAGCGTCGGGCAGATGGGTTACTTAGCAACAGGGTGAGACCTACTGGTTTCTTTGCTTAGGGCCAGGGTGGGTCCCACTGGCCGATAACCCATAACAGGGTGGGTCCCCAGGGGCGAGGAACTCGCCGGTTGCTTGGCAACAGGGAGGGTGGGGAGCCCTCCGTACCTTGCCCTTCAAGTCCAACACGTAGACGGCACTGGCGGACATGGCGGTTGCGGGAAGCCTCGGCAGTGGCCGAGGGCGGCGGCGAGGGGAAGACCTGCCGGGCGTTGAGTAGAGCCAGGCACACCCTGCGACTGTTCGACTCACTTCCGGTCCAGGGAGCCGCGCGCGAACCGTTATGTCCGGTAGGGGGCGGAGCTGCCAGGAACGCACAGGCGCAGGGCACAGTATGTGCAGGCGCAGTACGCCCGAGGAGACTTTATTTCACGCTCCCACCTAAAGCGTCCCGGAAGTAACACCTAGATTGACGGGGCCGGGCGGAGCCAACTGATGCGGGTACAGCTGCTGTGGAAGACTTGGCCACGGGAATCTCCATCCTGTGGGCTGTTAGGTGAGAGATCCCCCTGATGGATCCACCTGGGGCCCAGCCCTATGGAACCCCTATTCTGATGGGGGAGCCTAGGAAACAAATAAATATGCAGTCACCAATTGTGATACGCTTTAATGGGGAGGTGGTGGTTACTTGGAAAGAGGGCAAACAAACCCTGAATAGCAATCAAGCCTAACCAACAGTCACTACCTGACACCTGTTAGTGTCAGCATTAGTCAGTGAACAAGCCTGTCTGTTTATTGCCTGGAATGATCTGAAAACCACGCCCCATTGCACCTGGGCGAAAAGCACGTTTTTATTTCTGTAGTTCAGTGATGGCGAACCTTTTGAGCTGTGTGTCAGCATTTTGAAAAACCCTAACTTAACTCTGGTGCCGTGTCACATATAGAAATTTTTTGATATTTGCAACCATAGTAAAACAAAGACATATTTTTGATATTTATTTTATATATTTAAATGCCAATTAACAAAGAAAAATCAACCAAAAAAATGAGTTCGCGTGTCAGAGGTGTCATAGGTTCGCCATCACTGCGCGTAGTGGTCACTGATGGGTAATGCAAATTGTGACCCCTGATTAGTCAATTGAATTGTATCTCATTTGCTTTTATGAACATTTGGGCTATGGAAAAATGCCTGCATTCTGTGCCAATGGACCATCATAATGCCTTGGGGATCCCAATCCTGCAGTATCAGAACCATTTACTTGCACTGCCTGCCTCTCGTTTTTTTAATCCTCACCTGAGGATATGTTTTTACTGATTTTTTAGAGAGGAAGAGAGAGAGACACATTGATGTGAGAAACATTGATCGGTTGCCCCCCGTAGGTGCCCTGACCTAGGGATCCAACCTGCAACCTAGGTATGTGCCCTAACTGGGACTCAAACCCACCTTTTGGTCAAGGGTCAACAATCCAACCAACTGAACACCCACTTTTGATCACTCCTCCCATCTCCATCTGGGTCTTGAAAGATGGCTTTTGCAATATATCCTCTGCTAAGGATAGAGATGTAAATGCAGGAAAATCCAGAGAACATTGGAATATTAGAGCACTGCTAAGTAAATCCTGGTCGGGAAGCATTATTGCACAAAGCAGCCCATCCTATATAATAAAAGGCTAATATGCAAATCGACCAAACTGCTGAATGACCGGCCGCTATAACAGGCACTGACCACCAGGGGGCAGACGCTCAACACAGGATTTGCCCCCTAGTGGTCAGTGGGCCAGAAGCTGGGCTCATGGCTGGCGAGTGCAGCAGCGGTTGGGGGAGTCTCTCCCACCTCTGCAGCAGCGCTAAGAATGACCACGGGGAGCAGGCCTAAGCCATTAGTTGGACATCCCCCAAGGGCTCCCAGACTGGGAGGGCACAGGCTGGGCTGAGGGACCCCCGCTCCCCCCCCACCCCAGTGCACAAATTTTGTTCACCGGGCCTCTAGTTTTCTTATAAGAAATATTCTTCACATAAATTACTTGTAACTTTTTTTCCTTATGTGGAGGAATTTGACTCATCTTAATTTCATCTTTGGCATTTATATTTAAATATATAAGCCAGATTTCACCTCTGGTCAAGGGCACATGCCCGGGTTGTGGGCTTAATCCCCAGTAGGGGACGTGCAGGAGGCAGCCAATCAATTATTCTCACCATTGATGTTTCTTTCTCTCTCCCCCTCTCCCTTCCTCTGAAGTCACTAAAAATACATTTTTAAAAAATATTGTGGTAAATCAGGGTTTCTCAAAATTTGCTGTATGTTAGGGTCACTTGGGGAGCTCTGGAAAATCTGACAGAGCTCCACCCCAGGAAGTATCAGTGGTTTTTAATGTTTAACCTTCAGCAGAATTTGAGAGCCACTGTTAAAAACTGTAAGTGATGGCCACAAATAAACCATGTCTCCTGGTGTTCAGGCCTTTGAGTAGTTCCCTCCCAAATTGGGTGACATGACTTTTGTTGTCCAATGAAATAGCCTACATGGAGAGAAATCTCGAGGACTAGATGCCACCTTGGACTTTCTGGCTCCAGGCCAAGTCAACACAGTTATACAAGGGAACTAAACTATACCACATGGAGCAGAAGAACCACCCAGCTGAGTTCAACAAATCAACAGAATCAGGAGAAATCCTGTGGTTTTAAGCCACTAATTTTTGGAGCAGTTTGTTAGGGAGAATTGGAATGTTTATCTTCCACATTCTAACTTTTCACAGCACATGCTCAGACTCCAACCACTGGCTCGTGGATAAAACAATATCTGCACATGCCTTTCCAACAGGTAATATGGGAGGCTGCCCAATGGAGCCAGTGGTAATGACCGTCACTTCTCTTTGGTGGGTTGTGAGCTACAGGTGAGAACACATCATCTAATTTTATCTAAATTGAGGGCAAATATTTTGGCAGCACACATCCTGTGTGTGCAATAAATCCAAGACAGGGTTTGTAGTGATAAACAACTTATAATTAAAACACTCAGGCTTATATTTAATAACTGGTTTTGCTTTATTCTGCAGTTCACATATGACAGCCCCAAACCCAACACTTAGATTTTTTTCTTCTGAATTTGTTGTTTTTTCAGATGTATGTCAATAGAGACCATATTCTTCCAGTAGCATGTGCAGTCCGATCCTCATGTGGGGGGGACATCAGGCCCTCAAAGACACTGGCTCTGCAGCACTGGAACCTGGGTCCTCCCCTGGGACTGCACCCATGTCTGTCTGTGTGTGTCACTGCCCTGGTCCCATTACCCTGAGGCGTCCTTAGGCCGGGAATGCCAAACAGGTTCCATGAATGTGCCAACTCTGAACAAACACTGTGCCTGGAGCTCAGCGGTGAAGGTAGTGAGGCAGGAGGCAGTGTCTGGGTTCCATTACAAAGAACGTGGTACTTGACTGGCAATGTCTACCATGGCAACACCCACCTGACATGTCTGGAATAGGGATATTGGGGGAACAGGCTGCATGCCAGCCACTAGCTCAGCTCAGAAAAGAGGCAAGGCGTTCATTCCATCCTTGCCTTGGGTGGTTATTCTCCCTGGCCAGCTGGGCTGAGGCAGTCTGAAGGCCACAGGCAAATGGCCTCCCCAGGCCCTGGATGGAACCGCATAAGCCCCAGCTAGAGGGAACGTGGAAGGGCAGCACATGCCGGGCCCCTTGAGGGTCTGCACTTGCAGCTCCTTCTCCTCTGGGGGCAGTTTCCTCCAGGCAGAGACAGCTGGTGGACTGTCAACATGAGTTAGATGCAACTTGGGTGTAAAAACACTTCCACTTAACCTCTGAATAAACTCTCAATAATTTCCAGTCCGAACTAAAAAGCTTCATCTTCAATGTGCTATTGAGAAACTAAAATAGAGTAAAAGGATAGTCTTACTTTAATCAAGTTCCAGAATGAGGGCACACTGCTTTAAAAGCACTGTCTCAGCAGAAAACGCAGGGTGTGTGTAGAGTGTTTCTAGAAAATACCACAGGCACCACACATAACCCCAACCTGGCCTGCTGTTCCCCTTGGTGCACCCATACTCTGGGTGGGAAGGCTACTTCGTCCAGCTGACTTTGGGAATGTCGTAGTGCTCTGTGAGTGTATCCAGGTGTCTGTTGAAGTCCTGGGGAAGCGGAGGAAAAAGCCCATGTCATCACAGCACCCAGCAGGGTTACTAGGGACACATGCCACCATCCACCTCCACTTTATCCTGTCTCCCCTCAGTGAGCCCCCTGCTCTTAAAGCCAGCCTGCCAGGCCTTATAGCCGCCGGAACCCTGGCCTCTCCCTTCAATGACCCCAGGGAGGTTGGGTAAACCCGCCCCCCACTGACACTCCAGTGACTCCTCTGCCTGGCTCCAAGCCTCTGGGCCCCGTTGGGACCTACAGGACTCAGCCTCCCCCAGTGGACACATAACTTACCTCCACTCTTTGCTTGTGGGTTTTGGAGGCTTTCTTCAGGATCCTTTCCATTTGCTGAAGAGAGGAGAGAATGCAGGTGAGACATAGCCCAGGCTAGCACAGGATGGAAGATTGGAGCCCCAGCTGGCCTGGCTCTCACACCTACAACAGCTGGAGGTCTCAGGTCCCTCAAATCCACTCAGGCTAGTCTGACAGGGACACCTGGCTACAACACATCCCACTAGAAACTCAGGTCATGAGTGGCAGGAAATGTACTAGCACGACTACTACTGGGAGCTGTACAAGTGCTTCCTTGGGCAATTGGCAGAATTCCCATTTTTTCAGAAAAAGGAAGTCCCAGATGGGGTTTGAAGAAGGATGAGAAATGAGCAAAGGGCCTGACACATAGTAGGCCTGAGTGACAGTATCTATCTAATGTTCACAGTGCCAGGAGGGCTACAAGATACACATCACCTTCATGAGTGATTCTAGCTTATGTATCCAGCACAACTATGGCCTGGCTCAGCATTCATTCCCAACATCCAGTGGTACCTGGTAAGTGTGGGATACAGAGCCAGAGAGAGCTGGGGCTGCACCTGACACTATACTTACTAGCTAGGTGACCGTGGCCAACTCACATTGTTGGCCTACCCCTCCTCATGCATCCAGAAACTGCTGCCTGGTATTCCTGGTCTTGTGCAGTTGTCTGACTACACTGACTCTGGACTGGCCCCATGACTCCGTTTATTTAACAGGACGTAGTGTCAGGACCAGCCAGAAGCCATAAGAAGACCCAACATCGTTTGCTTTGTGCCCTTGGGAACCAGCAATCCTACAGGAAGTCTGATGACCTCACTGGAAAGAAAGGACCTGGCAGGTGAGATGACATGTGGGGAGAGAGGCCACGGAAGGAGCACTGAGGCACTAGACATGTGATGGCAAAGCCCCAGCTGCCGTCTGACTGCACCAAACTCTAAGCAAGGTCAGCAGAACCGCCTAGATGAGCCCAGTCGATCCACAGACCCAGGAGATAATACTGTCAGCTGCCACCTGGCTGTTGCTCCGTCCCTCCTGTTTTCATTTGCTGCGTCATCTCCCTCTGCCTTGTCAGCTCCCAAGTGAATGACTGTCCCTTTGAATTGTCTGCCCTGTCCATCCCTGCCTCTCTTCCTACTGCTGTGAGCCCACGTGAGACCCATGTGTCCTCACAAGAAGCCGAACTGACTGGAGCAGCTGTCACCAATGCCAGGCCCTTTTCGGGGCACTGCCTTCTCTCTCCCAACTCCAGGCACCAAGTTCACAGGGTGCCTTGGGAGCTGTCACCATCTCCATTTCACACAGAGAAAATAAGGACCAGAGTGTACAGCGGGTGATGGGCCTGAAGATATCAAGCCCTGACCCCTTCCAATAGGCAGGGGCCCACCCCAAGGGCCCTGCACCCAGGAGCCAGGGGCGGTCCAGCCTTCTTGCTCCCTGTGCCCAATCAAACACCTTCCACCAAACACAAGGGAATCTGCATTGCCCAACTGTGCCTAGCTTTGCCCACACCTCCTTTCTCTCTCATCCACCTCACCTCTCTCTCTCCTGGGTCAAACAAAACTGACAACAGTACTTCTGGGTTTAAATGCCAACAACAGGCCCATTTTTCTGTTCCCCTTAACAGTAAATCTCCCAAGAGCCATTTCTATTCCTCATCTCCACCTCTGCCTTCCCCCACCTTCTCTTGGATCCACTCTAATCAGCCTTTCTTTTTAAACTTATTTTTCATTATAGTTGACATACAATATTTAATCGGTCTTTCTTCCCTCTCATTCTAAATGCCAACTAAGAGCTCTCAGTGCTCACCCCACAAGACCTCTTGGCAACATAAGACACAGCTGATCACTTCCTCCTTGTCGAAAACACTTTCTCCGCTCAGCTCTCAAATACACTCTCCTGTTATTCCTCCTTCCTATGCTCCTTTGCAATTTCTTCCCTGCCACCCTCCAATCACCAGAGGCAAGACCTTACACCTCTTCTCAGACACTGTCTCTCTTCAATTTCCAACTTCTATCTGGGGCCCACCTCTTGCCTAAACTGCAGATTCAGATGTCAAACTGTCCACAATAATTCTCCACTTGGATTTCTAACAGTCACCTCAAATGTGACTTTTCTAAAACCAAGGTCTTAATACCTTTCTTTAGAAACCTATTTTACCTGCAATCCTTCCTATTTCAGTAACCAGAACCTTCATTTACCTTGCTTCTCCTGCCAAAAATCTTGGTTATCCTTGATTCTCCTTTCCCAGCCCACAGCCAATCCATCA